AGAGAGAGAGAGAGAGAGAGAGAGAGAGAGAGAGAGAGAGAGAGAGAGAGAGAGAGAGAGAGATCTACGACATTGGGATTTGGTGACATTCGGAGTCAGACTAGAGCTTTGGACAGGGACATTGCAGGGGGGCTATTTGTGGGATGAGCATCAACGGCATTTTGAGTTGACGCCATCTCTCCTTCCTTCCCCCTTCGTCTCTTCTCCCGCCTCCTCATCTGTGCATGTCAGAGCCTGGCGCTTTCTTCCTTCTGTTACAGCGCCAGGCGTCCCTTCACACTGTGTGATGATGATGATGATGACGGGTTGCAGTCTGTGTCACGACATTGATTAGGTCTGATTATTGGTATTCCAGACTTTCGCTGTGTTATCATGCTCTATCTGAGAGAGGTCGGTTGTTGGTTCTGGTCTGCACTATCTGAGTATGCGACAGAAGCACACTAAGATTAGCAGATCCAAGTTGAAACAGCTTTACCTCCATGAAGCACACTAAAACAGTTATAAAGTTATAAACAGCCTTTCCTTGTACAGTCCTTTCTTCACTTTCCTTTTTGTTTGCATGTCATCCTTGCTCAGGGGGCATTGTAATCTTCTCTGTACCGTTCCAATTTTAACGGATGTCCCGAAGGACCTTTCTTCGCTTCCTTACTTTGGTGTTTTTTGGATTTTTTCTTTTATTTCGTCTTGCAGCTCCCCTTTTACTGTGCCTCTCATGTACAAGGCTCACCATGTTGATTGTGGTTGAGTGCGAGCTGCCCACATTCCGTGTGCCGTAACGGCCCACTTGCATGCTATGAAAGGAGGCAGAGTAAAGGGGGAGGTATGCTCCTGTTCATGTTGTGCGTGTGTGTGTGCGCGTGTCTGTATGTGTGTTTGCGCTGTTGAGTTTCTTGGGAACATTTCGGATGGCGTGACTGTAATTTGATGTGTCAGTTTGCTGTGTCAGATTGTTTCGTCTGTCTGCTATGTTAGTGTGCAGTGTCAGTGTGATGTCGTGTAGGGAATGACCTTCATGAAGGTAGAATTGTCAGTGTACCACTGTCAGTGTTGTGACAAACTGTCTTCTGATTCTTGCTTTTCAAAGTCTATGGGGCGAGGATGATCGTGAATGGTGGATGAATCTACATCTTGCCATCTTCTTGTTTATCTGGCTTTCTCAAAAAAAAAAATAAAAAAAAATTGCTTTGTCTTCATGATTTCTGTCTGCAACAGCTTTGACTGCAGTGCACAATGTAGGCTTCCACTGTCTGCAATGCACAGTGCAGCACAGCAGACTATAGCCTGTGGCATCTACCACCGGCCACGCCAGCATATTGTCAGCCTGCAACCCTTTGCAGGTGTAGATGTGGTGGGGTTTCAGGTTCTAGCCCCAGAGGTTATAGCCTGCAGCGCTGCACTGTGCATTGCATGCATGCCCCACTGCACACAAAGCCACCAGCAGCAAACGGACACCCCCAAAGCAACAAGCAGGGTTACCCTCACTCGCCACCCAACCCTTCTCACCCCACAACCACTCATGCGCAGGGTTACTTTTTTTCAAATTTAAGCCCGGATTCTGCATGCTCCCAACGAGTGCAGAATGACCGTGCCGGAGGATGCCGCCCAAAAAAAAAAAAACCATACAGAGAGAGAGAGAGAGGTGCGTGGCAGAACACAGACATTTGCTTCCCTGTTCTCTGTGTGTTTTCAATACTTCTGTGTTTAAGAGTGACTTTGACAAGGGGTGAAGGAAAAAAAGAATTTTCTTCCCTTGCAATCTGGACATCCAGGCAGGGATCTGGACAGACAGGGGGGGCATCGTCTGGAGATATGAGACGCGAGAATTCCAGACATCTTGTTTCTTGTTTTCTGGACATGTGTCCACTGTTTGTCTAGATCCATCAGGATTGGTGTTGCAGCATAGCCATGGTGTTTAGACACTGCAATCTGAAACACCACCTAGATGGGCTGTGGACAAAGTGCCTGAAAATCTGGATGATATGTGAGGTCCAGAATTCCAGACGTTTTGTTTCTCTTTTTCTGGACATGTGCATGGATCCATCTGCATTGGTGTTGCAGCATAGACACTGCATAAAAGAAACATCACGTAGATGGGCTTTCACGATCTCTTCCGTTGCTGCAGTGAATGCTCTTGAGGCATGTGATTCAGGGCTGCAGATATTGCTGTGCTGCTGTCTTGCTCTTGACAGGTTGAAAGAGCACTCCAAAAGAACTACAAGGCATATGGGGCATGGTATCATCGTAAGTGGGTTATTCAACTGGGATGTGGTTCATTGGATCGAGAGATGAAGTTGATTGAAAAGTTCCTGAATGCGGATGATCGCAATTTCCATGGTTGGGACTATCGGAGGCATGTTCTGAACCACCCCTCCCCCGCCCGCCCTAGCCTCTCCAACTCTCTCGCTTCTCGCATTTTCTTTTGGGTTAAATTCACTGAAGACTTTGATAACATAACGAAAGTAAAGAAGGTAAAAAGAGAGAAAAAGAGAGCAGTTTTCTAACAGAAGCAAGCGGCAAAAAGAAAAACGAATAAACTTCAGTACACTTGAATAAAGATTATTCTTTTTCCCTCACAGTAAATCAAAAGATGGTAGCTTGATGTGCATTTGCTGAAATCAGCAAAGAGTGAACTCTTCAGGTTGTCAAGGTCCAACTGCTGCTGACGAGTTGGCAAAATTTGGTGGAACCATTGAAATGGCTTGCATAAGTCGCATTGCATCTCCTTTATCTACACATGGTAGGAATCTCTAGTGACAGTTTTCAAAAGTCATGTTGAGTGAGTGTCATCCCCTGTGGGTGGGCCTGTTTGTGGGCCTGTTTGTGTTGTAGTCTATTTTAGTAAACGAACAAGTCAGCGGCGTGCTCTGGCTTTGCCCATGCGGAAAGAGAGGGATGGGACGGCAGGGGATGTAGAGCTGTCTATGTTCCATTACATAGAGGTACATGCTATGCAGAGCTATGTGGAGCTACGTATGTGCCACTATGTAGAGTTATGTGCGGGCTGCTATGCGTGCTGTTATGCAGAGCCATGTTCGTGCTGCTGTATAGAGCAGTTGACTATGTCGACCTATGTATATGCTGATATGCAGGGCTATGTATAGGCTGCTATATGAATGTAGAACCATATGGTATGTATGTGCCGCGCTTGGGGCAGCTTTAGGATGCTTGGAGCAATTATTCGAATACGGCCGACGCTAGGGATCATATGTAAGCGGCTGAGCAGCTGTGTTCTAATCTAACTTAGGGATTTGGCCCTCAAAAACAAAGGCTCCGAGCGGAACACTCACAGAGGAAAGAAGACAACAGTTCATCAAGCAGATGCACACTTGTGAAGACAAAACAACAGTGGAACATACATAATTGGAAACGAAAAAAACACACACACAGTGGTGAGCTTGCGGAATGCACGTGAAACTCCTCTTTCCCAGCTCCCTTTCTGGTAGTGATGAAAGGTTGCAACCCGAAACAGGGTGTGACAAACTAGTTTTAATATCAATGTAGACAAGGGAAGGTGCGATGCGGTAGGTAGGGCTGAACAAACACACCTGAGATAGAGGGGGAGGAGAGAAACTCTCTCTCTGCATCTCTCTCTCTCTCTCTCTCTCTCTCTCTCTCTCTCTCTCTCTCTCTCTCTCTGTGTCTCTGTTTTTCAAGATGAACGAAATCATGAAAAATTATGGTGCAGCGTTGTGATAGAAACAACTTTTGTTCATTGGAGGCATGCCTAGGCCGTTTTTGGTTCTTGCGATGGTGCTATAACCCGTCAACAAAAATACTTCGCCGCCCGTGGGGCTCGAACCCACGACCACAAGGTTAAGAGCCTTGCGCTCTACCGACTGAGCTAGGGCGGCTGCTTCATGCAAAACCCTTTTGGCTGAAAGTCATTTTGAAACTGGCGACCAAATTTTAGCAATCAGAAGTAAAATAAAAATCACTTTCTGTTGCACCCCCTTGTCTGCATCAGATCCCGACATTTGGACCCAGTCCAGGCTGTCTGGTGTACGGTGTGTGAATGGGTCTTCTGACAGGGTCTGTGGTAGCCATGCTGAAAAGTTATTATGATAAGTTGATAACCCATCGATAACAATTCTTCGCCGCCCGTGGGGCTCGAACCCACGACCACAAGGTTAAGAGCCTTGCGCTCTACGGACTGAGCTAGGGCGGCTGCTTAATGCTGAAGGCTTTTGGCGGAGTGTCATTTTGAAACTGGCAACCGGATTTCACAAATCGAGACAAAAATGAAATTGCTTTTTAGGGCGCACCCTGGTCCATATCAGACCCAGACATTCAGACCCAGTCCAGACTATCTGGTGTCCGGTCTGCGAATGGGTGTGGTGTCAAGAGTGTGTGGTAGCCATGCTTAAGAGTTATGTCTGCCTACTTTTGTGAATATGAAATCCGAAATAGGCCTCTAGAACTTGGCTTGCAGTTGTTGTTCACCTCCTCATATCTTGTCAAACATCAATGGCTGATTGAGTGAGAAGACTAGTGGTGCATCAATCCGAAACATCCACCTGCTTGACTGTCTAGTCAATTGGGGGAATTTGAGAGGGGGAGTCAGGGAAGCAACCGCCCTCTGTTGTGAAACATCAGCTTTCATGCGCATGCTTGGTCTCAGTCTAGGGACATCTGCAGCATGTAATGAACTGAAGGGGACAGCAGAGCACCAACATGTTCCATACACATGGCATCGTGACAAGCCGATTTGGAGAGAGGGATTCTCACCACCCCGGAAAGAGAGATGCAGAGAGGAAGTACAAATAGCCCAGAAGAATTGGATATTAATATTAAGAAATAAAAGTTCCCTCGTCACTCTCCAAGTTGAATCAGAATCACACAAGAAGCCAAGAATCACAACCGAAAATAAACTGCCTTGAACAAACTCAGAACAAGTCTCTGGAGGCTTCTTATCCTCTCTAATACCACCTCTCCTTGCCGGCTATGGTGCTCAGCCCAAAATCATAGCTCCCAGCCTCACTACCCTGCAGACCACCAGCGCCTCCGCTCAACTGTCCCAGAAGCACTAGCACTACTCAGAATTCACTTGAATGCCTCTATCCGTCCAGAACAACCAGCACCGGCACAAGGATGAAGAAGGAACCTCCAGCTTGAAGAAGAAGAAGAACAGCTGCCCGGAGGAGAAGATATGGCAGCACCTAAGCCCCATCAACAGCGTAGATATGGTTCTCATCAAGTGAAGTGTCTGCTTCACTGCTGAACGGAAACCTTAGCAGCGCCTCCCATCTGCAGTGCTGGATCAGGAGCCTGGCGCCGTTAACAACCACCGGGGTTTCGACTTTCAAGGGGCATGTTTCGGTTTGATTTTAAGTTTTTATTTTTTTATTTCCGAGTTTATAAAGAATTATGAAGTGACCCTCAGCCAAAAGTTGGTCGCATTGCAATTCTGGACAACATATCGGAAGCAAGGGTGGGATGAATGGAGGCGTGTCGAGTGGGGCTGTAAGGTCCTCTGTGTACGAAAAGGGGAGACAAGGGCTGTCAATGGTGTCACAAGATGGATTGCACGTGGGCGTTGTCACAGGGGGCTGCAGGATTCTTCGCATGGGCATGGCCTTTCCTATGGTATTCCTTCCTCCTAGCGATCTTGATTCTTTGTGGAAAAACTCTTGTTTGCTTGTTTGCACTCTTTGATTATCTGGTTCGAGAACAAGCAGTGGGAGGAAAAGTCAGCCTGGATTATTGTTGAGGAGTTGATGTGACAAGGAGTCAATCACAAAGCGGTATAAGAGATAGAGGAGCTGCACTGACATTTATAAACGAGAATCTGCTAAATAAATTGCACGTCACTATTGAGGTATTGCCGTATCTAAAATATATGACTCTGATTTCATCATCTAATTGAAGTTATTGAAGATGAATAGCAAACAGGGAATTTCGAAGTCTTAATTTGATTTTTGTCAGAATTTTGTTTGAATACACTGTTGTAGACCTCGTCATCTCTTTTTCACCATCGGGCAACTGGCCCTATTTCTAGGCCTGGTCCAGTCGAACCTACTGTTGGTAGGTCCGATTGGACCAGGTGCAGCATGGAGATTGTATATCTTCATGCATCCGTTCACACATCATTTGTTTGATCGGAGTGCTCGGACATGTTCTTGGTGCATGTATGTGCTCCCTTCCATGCTCTCTCAACCCTAGTCCACAACTATGGTGCTCCATGCTGTTTGACTTTTGTGAACATGGCTGGGTGTTCGTAATTCTCGCCCTATACAAAGTTCAGCATAGAAGACACGAATGGGTGAGAAGTGATCCGTACCCTGGTTGCAGTGAAGGAGAATCATCCCCTTCGGCAATCCGATTCATGTGGCCGGACATGTTCTTGGTTCAGGCCTGTGCTCCATTCCATGCGCCCTCAACCCTACCGTCTTGTATATGAATATAACGCCCGTTATATTCGTTTATAAAGCCTGGGCGTTATATTGAGTAAATTACTAAATTGGTGGCAACTTCAGTTGGTTCCCAAAAAAAAAAAAAAAAAAAAGATCTGTAAAAATAATTTACAATGCGTTGGGTCCCAAAACTTCAGTTTTTTTTTAATTTACTATGTTGTCCAGAATTGCAATGCGGCCAACTTTTGGCTGAGGGTCACTTCACAATTCTTTGTAAACTCGGAAATAAAAAATAAAAAATTAAAAATTAAAATCGAACCGAAACATGCCCCTTGAAAGTCAAAACCCCTTTCAACCCCCTTTAAAACCCATGTATATCCGCCTTCCCGCCCTGCAAAACCCGTTACATTCGAAGGGGCGTTGTAATTGAAAAAAAGTGAGAAAAATCGAAAATCTGATCTTCTTAGGGTAAGTTGAATATAATGCCCAGGCGTTCTTTTCGGGTGAAGACGGTACTACTCAGCTATAGTGCTCCATGCTTGTTTAGTTCTCGTAAGCATGCTCAGGTGGACGCAATTCTTGCCCTTTACAAAGTTCAGCATCAAAGAAGGCGAATGTGTAGTACCCTATTTGCAATGGTGGAGAATCATCCCAGAATCATCCCCTTGCCAATCTGAGGAGAAGATCTCAATGAAGGCACCTGCTATGCTCTCCACAGAAAACGCAGAGGAACAGACCCACCTAAAGACCAGCGAGTGTCCTGACGAAGACGTAAACAATTTGAATTTGGAATTTATGTTTCTTGAAAAGTCCCCTAGTGACTTGGTTCATGCCAATCCATCAGATGGAGAAAATCTTGCCTCCTGCTTACACGTCAATTCCTGTTATTGTGATGATGAAGGTCGCTGCACTGTTCTGCAGTTTGTTGGCTCAGATTCATCTCCTGTTCGTGAGTTGCCTGATTCTTCCTCCAGTTACAGTCCTCCTGACACCCTTACTCTACTCCCCACCTTCCACTTTGCTGGATAGAACATATACCCTACCTGCATAGCCTGTCTCTGATTCTTGACTCGACTTGTGTTCAAGGTCTACAGTTTAGTGCCAAATTGGCATTGAGCTGCGCAAACCCTCTGGCAGCAACTCTCCACTACAGCTTCCTATTCACAAAACACGTCACGAGTCATCCTGTGGCTAAGGTGAAGCATAGCCTCGGTGGCCTGGTCTCGAGTGCATCGGCTCCCACCTGAGAGGGAGCCGTTTCAGTCCAGTCACACAGAAGCAGGAGATTGCGGAGTGCACCAGACAGTTCACAACTCCAACAGGGTGCGTCAGCCTACATCCTGCTTAGTCCTGCAACAGGGTAGAGGCAACGGGGCAAGCTTTCCCTACCCAAGGGGCTGTCACCACCCCTGAGGAAGTATGTCAAAGCGGGCTATCGATGCACGTTCATCAGGTAAAGCAGCTTTTACCTGCTGCAGTAGAGGTACATCGGCTGAGGGTATTTGATATTTCGTCGATGTAGCATACACCGAACATAAGGCCTTTGTGAACCTGGTAGTAACCAACGTCACGAGGCAGTGCTCTCCCGTGCCTTGGAGCTGTCTCTTATACACATCTAGATGTGTATAAGAGACAGCCTCGTTCCTTCCTCTATGTCATAGTGTTGCACAGACCTGCATATTTGATATTTCGTCGATGTAGTATACACCGAACATAAGGCCTTTGTGAACCTGGTAGTAACCGACGTCACGAGGCGGTGCTCTCCCGTGTCTTGGAGCAATTGACTAGGGTGTCAACCTCCTTTCGCTCCTAGTTCCTTCCTCTTATGTCATAGTGTTGCACGGACCTGCGCTCCCTGTTAGAATGTCTATCTCCTCAGGTTTTGTACGACACATAGTACCAAACAATCTTGGTGCAACGCACGTCCATCTCCTCAGGTTTCGTACGACACAGTACCAAGCAATCTTGGTGTAACGGACCCTTAACTGTGCGTTCGGCACCACCTCCCATGGGTGATGAACGACAGGATCTATCAGGCCTGATGAGAGTTTCTGCACCCACTCGACAATCTTGCCGCTGTACTCCGCCATTGAGAAATGACACCTAATGACCGCAGTCGGTCCTACGTATGAGAAGCAATTGCCTTCAGTGCAGGCCGACCTTCGTCCATAACACCAGAGTCTTTGTGCCAAAGCGGCGCACACTCCAACATGCCAGAGTTGAGCCCAGTCTAGAGAAGCTGCATACCAAAGTGTTCGTCTCCGCACACAAGGCTTGGCCTGGACACGGTGGGGTGAGGCTTCGAGAGTCTCAAAGGGGCCACTTGCTGCATGCCTGTACCTGGTGCATGAAATCGCACCAGGTGCAGATGCAAAAACGCATCTCGTTTTGCCTTTGCAGGCCCTGGAAAACTCCGGACCCTTAGACCCTTTCTCCTATGACCAAGCCGGTAGTACTGGGTGGATCTAGCCATTTGTTTGGCTGGGTCCAGCCAGGCCCTCTAGGCCTTCTTCGTCACACAGCTTTCCCATCGGCTGCTCAATCGAGTTTTTGCGTTTTCCTCCAGGAGTCTCCCAGCCCCCAGGCCCTCCTAGGCCTTTCGTTGGTAGGACCAGATGAATCCGACCTCCTTTCAGGCCTCCTTTCAACCGGTTCTCCTGGTTGGAGAGGCCCGGATGCCTTGGATGTCTTCTGGGCCTTACTGGCCCGTGAATCTGGTTAGTCACCTGGCCAGATTCACAGTCCAGTATACCTTCCCTTTGGCCCTCACTCAAAATGGCACACACAATTCTTGGGCCTTCAGATCTTGAGTTCCGGATGGACCAAAATTACTCCACCCGTCCAAATGTTCGGGCCCTTCTTAACCTCTCTTTCCAAGGTCACCTGGTACGACTGGGTGAATTTGGCCTAAATTGCAGACAAATCCAGCAGGTACTACCAGGTGCTCAGTTCCGGCCACCCGCTAGTACTGGGTACACCTTGCCCAAAGTACAGCGAGGTCCATTGATACGATCCGATGGCCTTTCTCCTGGCGTTTTCAGGCCTGTCTGTGGTGGTCACCCATCTGAATACCATTGCAACCCAACGGCACGTGGTTGTGAGTTAGGATGGGCTCACGCACATAAGTCCTGAACGTGCCATGCTCTTCTAAGGCCCTTCCAGCCACTTCTAAAACTCCCCGCGCGTCTGTTTTGCATGATTGAGTGGCTGCCGTTCATCCACCCTGGCCTTATAAGGGCGATTTCAAGCCCCCTTTGGCATGCAGTGTGCAATGCTCCCCCTTGTCTGACAGCAGTAAGGTCTGGACATCCACACATCACAAACATACAGCTGTCAGACAACTCTTGTGCCTCACCTGGTGGCATAGATATAAAGCACACTTTGCCCCACAACATATGCTGTGATTTTTGAAATGGCCTAAAGAGTTGGTGCTCAATTGTTTAGCAAAGCTGGAAGATTGCCTGGGCAGCATGGGCATGAAATTCAAACTGACTGACTGATATGATGTTCTATGTGGCACTGAGATTTGGTAGATGGTGTGTTGTTCATCTATGTGCAGGTTTCTTGTGAGGCAAGGACCGTCAGGAAGTCCTGAGAAGGAGCTGGAGTACACGATGGAGAAGATAAATCAAAATTTCAGCAATTACTCAGCCTGGCACTACCGCAGGTCAGGGATATTCTCCGTGGCAATGGTTCTCTCGTGTTCGCTAGTACGTGGGTCATTTTACTCCCAGTGTTCCGCAACTGTGGATGCTTTTTTTTTTCTTCTTCTTTTTAATTTAAAAAATAAATAAATATATCATTCCACTATTTCCACATCCTTGCCACATCTTTTTTTTTTTTTTTTTTTTGAAGAGTCAGGGTCCAATCTATTCGTGGGGAGCATGCAGCATACAAAACTCGAAGTCCAGACTGCAACTGTGGAAACTATTAATCCAAAAAACAGATGTCTCTGTGTGGCCGACAGTTGCTACTCACCATTCCAGAAGTGAAACTAGTGAACACCTTGTGTTGTCATTCACCTCTTGTCGTTCATTTCATTGTTGACTAGTCATGCACAAGAAGCAAGGGAGTCATCCGCCAATGCCTATATCAATGCTTCAAAGGGCCCAAACTCTATTGCAGTTTCAAATTGGTGTGTGCCCCATTCCACTACCATCCATGGGTCACCCTTCCTGGCCTCATATTTGGTCATAAGGCGCGCAACCAGGGATGCAACAGAGTGAGACCCAGGGTTGAATCACAGACCTCTTCACACTGAGAACAGCACAAAATCTACAGGGCCCTGGCTGCCATTTTTTATTTTTGTTTATTTTTTTCTACCCATCCTTGCCCCTCTCTCTGCACGAACCTCTATGCAAGCGATCCTACAAGGGATGCAACAGAGTGCGACCCCTGGTTGAATCACAACCTAGTACATACCTACACATAACAACCCACAAAATCTACAGGCGCCTGGCCATTAGTTCTTGACTTCTTTTTTATTGCCTGCCTTACCCCTCCCTATCCACGATCTCTATGCAAATCATAGTAGTCATAAACCACCAGTTCATGGCCACAGCCGGTAGAGCAATTGGGGAGACAGCCAGTGGGCCTACGGGGAAAAAAAAAAGACGGACTGCAAGTACTGCTGCTGGTTCATTCAGCACGGCCCCAGGAGGTGCAGACAAGAAAAAAAGAAAAGAAAAAGGTAACAAGGGCAAAAGAGGCATTTGGGACATACTCTCCCGTCAGTGTTGCCAGGAGTCCGCCTCTCACGGTGGGAGCTGTGATAAGAGGAGGGAGGAAAGAACTGCAAAGTTGTGCAAACAATGTCCCTCCAAAGCTCTGGACGTGATTGCAGGCAGATTCGTCCTGGTCTGGGCCTACCCGCATCTGACTGCAATTGTGGCCGAACCTGCACAAATCTGACTGTGAGCACGCCGAGATCTTTCAAGGAAGCGTCCCCGTGTGAGTCCCCTCAGCTACAAGAAAAAAAAGTAGAGAATTGTAATTGCGGTTAGAGCTGAGGGCGGACTCACATTAGGAAGTTTCCTTTGAATCTTTGCACACAACTGCAGTCAGATTCGTCCAGGTCTGGCCACCTGGCTGAATCTGGCTGCAATCACGCCCAGAGCTTTGTAGGAACGTAGTTGGGACTTCTTTCCTCCTGCCTGTCGCGGTGGAAGCCGTGAGAGGCGGGCCTTTTCTTCTTTCCTTTTCTGTTCCGCCAGCATCTGGAACTGGACTAGGCCACATACAGGGGCTGGCTTTGTAGAGAGTTTGGCGGGGGTTGCACGTGAGTGAAAACGATAGTCCCCTTTTCAGTCCATCTGATGCAGGAGGTCCAGCGCAGGGGTTTCACAGAGGCCGGTACTGGTACCTTCTCAATTTTCCATGTGGTGTTTCCCGTGGCTGTCAGGCTCGGCAAATTTCAAATTTCGGTTCTTACATTTAGCCTCGGATGTACTGGTGGTTTAATGACCCCAGAAGGGGCCCCAAACGCGATCACAAGTCCCCAGCCAATTCTATACCAACCATCCTGTAGCGATGCAATACGAGGGCCAGGCGCCACTGGTTTATGTTTATACATGGTTGCATCCCTGCCGACCGCCGACCCCGACCGCCGACCGTATTGCAGCCGACCAGTAGGGCCGACCGATCGGCGGTCTGCCGACCAGTCAGAAAACAACCATCCACTATTTTTTTTTCAGATCTGAGTT